GGATTGCATGAGCAGAACTTACAGAGACAGCTCCTTTTCTACTTGGGGAAACTGGATTTTTGATAATTTGCTGAAGGCCTAGAAAAATCACAATTACATAGTAAATTCAGCCAGCATTTGTGAAGCACCTATAGTCTGAGGGATGAGATGAAAAATGACACCATCCCTGTCTTCAGGATGCTTATTGTAGTCTTCTAAGGGGATATGACATGTGCCTTCATGCTGGGTAGATTGCGGTGGTGAGAGAGAAGAAGTACTTCAGGCAGAAATGAGGAGAGAATGATCAACAAGAGGATTAGAGAAGCCCCCATTGAGGAAATGACGCTGAACTGAATCTTCCAGAAAGAGAAGGCTTTCGACAGAAATAAGGAGGGGTGGAGAGGAAGGGTGCTTTCCAGACAGGAAGAACGGTGTGCCTGCTGCACGTAGATGGGAGAAAGCAGGCTGGTCAGGGAGTGGCTAGGCAGTTCATGAAAGAGAATAATGTAGAATAAGGCCCAAAAGGTACATAGAAGCCAGACTGAAGAGGGCGTTTAAATTGGATATAAGGGTTCTTATTCAATCTTATGGGAAATAGGAGTCCACTGAATTCCTTCGAACAAGTCCAGCAAGAACTGACTTAGTGGCTTGGTCTATGCATTGGGAAGTTCATTTCCCCATGCAGAGGTGTGAAAGACTGAAGTCTGGAGAAACTGCAAGTTTGGAGATAGTCAAGAAGCTATTACAGTATTCTAAGTTAGAGATGATAAGGACTTGAACTAGTGTGGTGGCCCTGGAGAAGCGAGGAATCACATGAGATGTTATGTAGAGAGTTGCTGGAAAGACAGACAGATTGAGGGGAAGATGCTGAGGAACTCAGTTTCAGAGGTATTCAGTGGGAGACTCTCTTGGAGAATCTTTTTGAAGAAAACCCTTCTAGTGCTAGATCTAAGATCCTAATCATTCTGGAGATGATTATGTGGCTGCTTATAAAGTGCCACTATAGTCCAAACTGCAGCTAGTTTATCTAAAGTTGACCTGGTTTATCCAAAACCTTCTGGTATTAGTTAAAAATAGAGAGGTCAGTGCAGCAGATTAGACAGGGGATAAGGAGAAACAATGAACCCAACTACTCAGGGTTTGATAAAGTGGAAAACATCAATTACCAAGGGGTAGGGGGTGGAGGAGATCTATTCTTAACCAAACAGGAGATGGAAGCAATTAAAAAAGTAAAATAGGTAACTGCTTATCTGAAAACTGAAAAGCTTCTGCACAGACAAAATTAATGTATGTAGAATAAGAAGGGAAGTAGTTGAATGGGGGGGAAGACCAACTTTGTATGAAATTTCTCTGATGAGGGTTTGGTATCCGTGATATATAAACAATCTTGGTGTGTACACACACACACACACACACACACACACACACAGTTGCCTATGGAAACATGAAGAAACCAAATATCTTTGGGCTCCTTTTTGCACAGCTTTCTGTTCCCTGTGACTAATTAGCATTCTAATAAATGCATACTTTAAATATTCAGATTAACCCACACATTATTATAAATCCACAAATAAAAAAGATCCTAAAGAACGATAATATGGGATTCAAGACACTTGTGTTCTTATCCAAGCTCAGCCACTTACCAATTGTATGACCTTGGGTAAGTCATTTATCCCTTCTGGCTCTTAGTTTATTAATCTGTATTATAGGGATGTGATGCTTGGCCACTATTATCAGGCCATTGTGAGGATCAAGTTAAATTATGAATGCAAAAGATTTTGTAAACTGTAAAATACTCTTCAATTCTAACATGTTGTTACCATGTTTCAGTTTAGGAAATTGAAGGGGAAGGAAGAAAAAGGAATACGCATTTATATAGCACCCGCTGTGTGCTAGGCACTGTGCTAAGCACTTTATGAATACTATTCCATTTGATCCTCACAACGGTACTGTGAGGTAGATTATTCTCCCCATTTTATGGTCAGGGAAACTGAGACAGGTTAAATGACTTGGCAGTGGTCACAAAGCTAGTAGGTGTCTGAGGCTGGATTTGAATCCAGGTCTTTCCTGACTCCAGGCCCAAGGCTCTATCCACTGTACCACCACCTAGGTACCTCTGGATCTAGATATAGCTTTATTTTCCTCAAGGCCATGCCGGTAGTTCGGTTCAGAAGACTAGAGCTTTCATTTCCAGATTCTCAGTCTCCTCTTTCCTTTAGACTTTTTTTTGGTATCATGGACCCTTTTGGCAGTAAGTCTGCTGAAGCCTGCAGATTCCTCAGAATCATGTTGTTAAATGTATAAAATAAAACACACAAGATTTCAAAGGAAACCAAAGATTAGGGAAAATAAATCTATCCATGGACCAAGGGGTGGGGAGGTGGGGGCTCTGTGTTAAAAGAAAAAAAAAACCCTGATCTAGAAGATAATACAAAGTATCAGCAGTACTGTTTGATGATCAACTGTGAATGATTTGGCTCTTGTGAGCAATACAAAAGATCCAAGATGATTCTGAAGACTCATGATGATAAATGCCATCTACCTCCAGAGAAAGAATTAATGGAGTCTGGATGCAGATCAAAGCACACTCTTTTAAAACTTTATTTATTTATTTATTTATTTATTTTTGGGGTGAGGTTTAGGGGTTTTTTCTTTTCTTTTGGTTTATTTGCTTTTTTGTCTGTTTTCTTTCACAGTATGACTAATATGGAAATAATGTTTTGCATGAGTGCACACGTATAACGTGTATCAAATTGCTTACCGCCTCAGGGTCAGGGGAGAAGAGGGAGCAAGGGAGAGGATTTGGAACTCAAAATTTAAAAAAATAAAAAGCAAATGTAAAAATTTGTCTTTACACATAGTTGGAAAAAGTTAAATATTTTTTAAAAAAAGAATGTATGATCTAGACCATAATGACCACTCCCATGTCATAAAAGAGTGCAGATGTTTTGTGAAAAACAGGAGTTACTTGTTATAGTTGGTAAATTCTTGAGGACGAAGGAACTGAAGCGTAGGGTGAGAAATAGGAGTTGAGGGAGAGAGTAGTGATCAAGTAAGCTGAAGTATTCTGTGGTAACTCACTTTTGAGTTCATCAAGCATTGTCTTGGATGGGCAGATTGTTGTCAGAGAGGATCAGTAATGTGTTCTCCGCAAATCCTTTGGAAATCTAGTTCCTTTCTAGGGACTTTTGTGAGTCAGGTTTGTTGTTTATATAGAACATAAATATTTAATCTGTATTTCATAGCTATATCTACGTTATTTTTGTATGTGTATTTTTCCTTGGTCCACTTGAGTATTACAGTTCTTCTTTGTTACTTGCATGCCTTTATTAAGCCCTGTATGCATTGCTTAGAAAGTGCGTAGGGAAATGCGGCATTCTCTGAAGTAAACAGAACCAAATCACTTAGAGCTTAATGATTTGAAGATCAGCACTTGAGTCATAACTAAGAGCAGATAGGTTTTCAGTCCAGGTGTCAGAGTTTCAAGAAGTTTTCACTTCTTACCCTTTGGGGGCACTGTGCAGTTGCTTCTGAGTCCATTAGTAGTTCAAAAATACCACATTTATTGATGTGGTTATGCACCCATGAAATGCCAGTTGAAGCAAAAACGTAATGCCATGAAACAGTAGTGAAAAATGAATTTGGAAGAGCTATGTATTCTAGGAGTGACTCTGAGAGTCTTTTCCCTACGACATTGGTATTGGCTTGTTTTGAGTTTTTTGTACAGATAGATCATTCTCTGTTTACTTATTAAATGAATGTGTTCTTACCTGAGGGTATTGTGAGAATTAGCAGTGCTTTTTCATCAGCAGCATTGTTTAAGGCAGTACCGTAATCTATTCAGCTTGCCTGGAATCATACTCTATCTTACAATGATTTCTCATTAATTCTTACCCCTGAAGGAGACACTTGAAGTAGAGTCCAAGTTAACTGCTCTGAGTCTAATGCTGTTTCTACTAAACCATATCTAAAATAAAGATATTCTAGTAGATGACGTCGCAGATCCCTTCAGCTCATAAGAACCTTTTAGAAAATTTTCTAAAATGCTGTTAAAAGTACATTTCATGTTACTAATTCATAAATCTGTTAATTCACAATTATTGTGGAAGAAAAAGAAAGGTTGATTAATCTATTGCCTCCAAATCCTTTTCATTCTGTAGTACATTTCCAGGTATTTATATTTGTGACAGTAGCTGCCACACTCTTAAAAGTAGTGCAAGAGAAGGCTGTGTAGATGAACAGGAAGAAGAGTAGGTCTTTGAAAATATAATTTTATTGGCAACATCAGTAAAAAGAATTTTTTAAAAAATCTAGCAACAACGAATGCTCCACTAGTCCTGGGATCCAATTGTGGAGGTAGAATAAGGAAGAGAGAAGAGGAAGACCAGTGGTGTCTGAGTAAACAAACAGAAGTGGCCTCAGCAAGGTCCATACAGCCAAAGGAATAGGGAAGAGTTTTCCTGGGTAGTAGCAGTTGTGTGGGGAGATTGTGTTCAGTTTTTCTTTGTTAGATGATACCTCTGATTTCCTCAGTGTGTGATGCTGCCACTGCAGATGAGAGCCTGCTCTACAACTTGAGTCTTAGAGAGTTGTTGGTGGCATTGAGAGGTTAAGTGATCTGCCCACAGTCCTCCAGCCAGTATGAGGCAGAGGACTTGAATTCATGTTTTCCTGATTTCAGGGCCAGCTCTTCTCTCTCTGCCATGGTACATTGCCCCCTTTCACTCTTAAAAGAAGGATATTTCTCTGCACAGTTTGATAGAAAGTTGTATATCAGACCACAGAAAAGATGAAGTTTATTGCAAACTATAGCTCTAAAACAAACATCACTATGTATGCCATGATATTATTCTCTATAATGATAAAAAGAGAGTTGGATTTTAAAAAAAATAATTATCAAGTTTTTGGGTGGTGTGGGGCCAGGGATTTTTAATTTAGTTCTTTAATAGTGTTTTATGTACTCAGTTCTATCTATGCGTGCAGAACCTTGGGGGGAAAAAAGATGATTTTATCCTTCTTAGGGTCGGTGGGAAAGTCAACAAGATGTTTCCCAATCAGAACATTCCAGAGGGCTGACTCCGGCTTGTCCATCTCTGTCTAGTGGTCCCCAGGATAACCATTCCCCCTGAACCAGGTGAGTGCTGTTTGTACTTTCTCGATTACTGTGCTCAAGGATGGCTTGGATTGTAGACTGTCCTTCCAGGTAGTTAGATGGTACTGGTTAGTTTGTCCCTTTCTCACTCTCTCCCTCCTTCCCTTCCTTCCAGAAAGCTTTATTTTTTTAAAATGCTTACTCTGTGCAGAGCACTAAATGAAAGTATTAGCATAACATGATAACTTTATTCAGTGCAAAATAAAGTGCTGTGTGAAGACCCACAACAAGATGTGCATTTGCTCCATTCCTACGGCTAAAAAGTGTATCGAAGCCGAATGTTTGCCCCTGTTGTTTTTTTAAATCCCCAAGGACAAGGATTTCCCAAGAAACCAGAATAGTCTTCTTCAGTGTTCAGTTATTTCTATAGTCTAATTATTTCTATTGCTTGAACTAGCTCTTACTCAATTTATGTTTATTTACTTTTGTCTATCATATATAGAGATGCAAAACAAATGGTACATTTTATCCTTTTATGAAAACCGGGCCTAGTTGTATATTATTTATTTTGTAGGTTATCGTCATATTTTAACATTAATTCAGAAATGTTAGTAGTCTTCTGTTTAAATTAATTCTCCTAGTGATGTAGGGATATGCACACGTATATTTTTATGTAAAAGAAACACTTTTATGATATTGATTTACAGTGAGGGATGTGTTTTATGGCCCTCCTCTAAAGTTTCAGGAAAAATAAGAATCATAAAAGCACAGAAAGAGACCACCAGAGCATATATGTTTTATGCAATAGAGTAATTGAGGAACTTTTTAAAAGTTGGCTGCATTGAGATCAGAGACCAAATAATTGTGTCATTTAACATCTAGTCCCCAGTTATCTGACCTAACTTGTGTGCTTGTTGGCCAAGAGACACTTAATAAATTAAAGAGAAATAGGGGACAAAGTGGTCTACACGGGCTTGAGGGTACTTTGGAACTTTCAGTCCCTGTTTTTCCATGAATTGATAAACTGACTTTTCTGTTTCAGTTAGCAGTGGGGAAAAAAGATGTCATATCTTATATGTTTGAGTATATACATGTGTATACCCACCACTTTTTGGTAGCCATAGAATGTTCCCAACTTCCTAGGCATCAGAAATATCATGTGCTAGTAGGTGGATGACTCAGAACAACGCTTTTCACTATTGAAAAACCATTGAAGGTGCATGTCATTACTCACAAATGAGTAAAGCACATTTCTTTGTTTAAAGCGTAAATGAACCTGCCACTAGAACATATATCAGAAGGAATATACCTTACAAGCACCATAGAAATCCTATTATTTGAGAGGGAAGAAAACTCTTCTTTTTGGACAGGAATAACATTTTCTTGGTTTTAGAGAGAGACATATCAGAAGGGGACCCCTTGGGGTATCTTAGAAACAACAGGAATTAGGGCCTGTTGAGACTATCTAGACAGTATCTGCCAAGGAAAAGGGAACACTGTGGCATTTGAAAATAAGGTTGTGTCATACGTATTGTACTGTTTGTTTTTTTTCAAAGTCATCTTTTAGTGATAACCTTTCTGAGGTTATATTATTAGAACAATCACAAATGGTACTTGGCAAAATCTCGTGGAGACAAAATGCTTGTGTAATTGGTTTTATCTTTTTTTTTCCTTTTTAATATTGTTGATAGGACCTGGTGGCTTAGCAGCCTCCTACTTGAATCCAGTAAAATCCTTTGTGCCACAGATGCCAAAGCTGCTTAAGTCCCTCTTTCCTGTCCGAGATGAGAAAAAGGGCAGACAGCCATCTCCTCTTGCACAACAGGTAAAAAAAAAAAAGTAAATAAAACAAACCCAGAATGTAACAATGAGCATTTCTCTAATGTCTTGTTGGCTGAATTCTGTTTCTGGTGCTGCAGTTAGAGGGATGGGGACGGGTAAGGTTGGGAGAGTTAGAACTGGGCTTTTAGTCACAGTGAAAGCCTATGATAATTTTCCATCCACTCTCTTCAGAGATAAGAGAGCTGTTTAAACTTATTGATACTCTCAATCCTTTTTGCTTTTAAAAAATGCCAAGCGTGCTACTAATGTGATTTATGGTAATATCACTTAGAGCAACAATAGTAGAATTTATGAAGTGCACTTAGTGTTGTTTGCGTATTGCCAAGTGGAAAATGTAATTCTATTTTTAATTCTTGATTTCATTCCTCATATCAAACAACCTGATTCCAGCACCACTCTTCCCCTCAATCCTTACGTCGTCCTGGCCCCCCTCCACCCCACCCCAATTACCTGTCCTTTGATTTAAGCTGCTGCCTGTTAGGCACCTGTTTCATTTATTTCTTCTAAAAACCTGTCTATCCTAGTTATTCTGACTTCAGTCCAGCCAACCAAGGGATGTCACCATACACATCCTTCGGATGTGTCAGAGAGAAGGAAGATTTGGGCTTCTAGGTGAAAAGTCTTTTCTAATCAGTCAGGAAGCTTCTTGTGTCCGAAAGAGGACAACAGGGCCCTGTTAGAAATGCAGTTTCTAACCTCATATAGGTGTGAACTCAGCAGGAAATGATAAATGAGGATTTATTTATAGTCATTCAGAAAACACTTACAGTGCAAGTTCGGTTGTTGAAATCGTTCCTTTGACACCAGCTTCTTCACATTCTCTGAATATTAGAGTTGCAGAATTGCCAGTTTAAAGAAAACTCGTTGATAATTATAATTCATTCTCCAAGGCATGGGGCCAGCCTATAGGTGTAGATGTGTTGTTTTAAGCCATCAGGATGTTTCATTTGTGATTTTCTTTTCCCCTCTTCAGCATTTCCTACCAAGGGATCTTCTAGCATATTGGATAGAAAAAGTAGACACTCCCCATGTTTTAGAGTAGTTGAAAACACACCCTAAACAATACTAAGCACATAGTACTTAAATTGCTTACTGACTTGTCTTTGGTAATTCAGTGAATATATGGGAGGGGATTTATACACTAGGGAAAAGTGAAAATTCAAATTTTCTGTTTTCTCTATTGGCTCTGTACTTCCTATCTTGACCTTTTCTGTACAGCTTAGCTGTTATTTTTTTCAAAGTAGAATAATCTCAGTTGAAAGTCATAGACTCTTTTTTTTTTTTAAAATCATGGAATCTGGATAATAGAGTTTAAATAGTAAACTTAATCTACTTGAACTCTGAGGATGGAACAAGTCAAATCATTTGCTGCCTAGGAGGAATTATCTATGTTTTCGCTGCTTTGGCAGTCTATGACCAGATATTCCCTAGACTGTATGAAAAATATAGGAATTAAGACAGAACTTTGTGATTTGCCCATCCTGCCTGCCCAAGGCACAGTTTAAGGAGAGACTGTGCTAGAGTGTGTTTTAAAGAAACTTCATTCACATAGGTAAACATTTATGAGCCTTTGTAGTTGTTCAGTTGTTTTGTACTTGTGACCAACTCTTCATAACCCCATTTGGGGTTTTCTTGGCAAGGATACTGGGGTGGTTTGCCATTTCCTTCTCCAACTCATTTTACAGATGAAGAAACTGGGGCAAATGAGCTCAAGTGACTTGTCCAGGGTCACACAGCTAGTAAGTGTCTGAGGCCAGATTTGAACTCAGGAAGATAAATCTTCATTACTCCAGGCCTGGAACTCTATATGCTGGGCCACCTAGCTGCCCTTATAAGCCTTGCTTTTTAGGTTTAAACACAACTAAGAAAATGAAAAAAGAAAATAGCTTTTTATTTGACTTCAAGGGTGATCAGGGAATTATGTAAAAAAAACTCATTTTATTAAAGCATCTTTAGTTATAATATAGAAGAGGGAGATGGTTAAATGTACAATCAGTATAAATGTGGATTCCATGGAGAAGGTTCTCCTTTACCCATATTATTTAAATACCTTTTGGGATTTGGGTTTGCTTTTTTTTTTTTAATTTATTACTCTTTTGTTAATATCAAAAGAATTATAAAAACCAAGCTTGCATTATATTTGTCCTTGGTTTTCCTTTTGCATTTCTACTTCACCAGTGAAAATTTAGTTCTTTATTTAACTTTAATGCAATTTCCAGTAATAGGAATAAAACAAAATGCAGCCTGCTTCTGGTGTTCTGTGGAACTGGACTACAGCAAACTTCACTAGAGTAGAATTAGATTCACATGGAAATTAAATTTGTTGTCTAAAATCTTGGTGTTTTTTCCCCCCTGTGTGTGTCTCTGTCTCTCTCTGTCTGTATCTATCTCTTTTTCTCTTTCTTTTTTCATAGCCTTGTGATGAAGCAGGAGTGTATCTCAGGCAAGTCATTACGGCAACCCTTAAACTACCAGACTTAAGTTTAGCTAGCAGGATTACACCATCCTGTTCCTGTCTTGAGATAACTTTTTGCTGCCCCACCCCCACCCATTAAGATCCATGTCTTTAGATCCCAGCCCTCATCCTCATTTCTCTGCTTTTCTCCGATTTGGTGTAGTCCCACACAAGTACAAGCAGTTCAGCCTGACTTGGCTGAGGAATTATTGCTTTCTGCAACATTTTTAGCATATGGTCATGTATCCTCCAATGAAGAAAGATGCATTACTTTCCAAAGCAACCCATTCCATTAATAGCTAGCACTGATTGCTAGAAATTCTTAAGATCTGCCTTCTTGTAACTTTTACCCATTGGTCCTAGTTCTGTCCTCAAGAGCTATGTAGCATAACTATAATCCTTGAGCTCATATAGTATGGACATCTGTCACATGGTCACTGAATTGAATTAAGTCTGTTCATACCATGGTATATACCAGCACACATTTTCCTCTTGCACAAATCAAAGCGACACATATTAAGTACTTTCTATGTCCCAGGCGCTGTGCTAAATATCAATGAGGATTTACGGGAGACTTAGTCAAATGTTGATAGCTATTCTGATACTGGAAAGTAGCTTTCTTGTTTCCTCTAAGTCTTCTCATCTCCAGGTTCAGCCTCTCTTCTTTCAGCTCTCTGTGATACACAGAACAAGATTTCTCACTGTCCTGAATGCTCTCTCCTTTATCAGCAGCCCTCTTAGAATACGTAGGCACTCCAGGGAAGCAGCAATCCAGATGCGGGCTGGTCATCCAGGACTGTCAGAGGTGGGAGAGCACTTGGGAGGCAGAGTGCCTGAGTCCAGATCCTGGCTGTCCTCTGCTCCTCCTCCTCATTATCCTGGCTTCCTTTCAGTCTCAATTAAGATCTCGTCTTCTACAGGAAGCCTTTCCCAACCCCTCTTCATTCCAGTACCCTCCCTCTGTTCATTATTTCCTGTTTATTTGAATTTTGTCTCCCCCATTAGACTGTGAGGTTCTTGAGGCCCGTCTTTTGTATGCCCGGTGCTTAGCGCAGTGCCTGGCACATAGTAGGTGCTGGTGCTTAATAAGTAAAAAAAAAAATCTTTTGTCTCTGTCATTTACTACCATGTGACCTTGAGCAAGTCACTTAGCTTCTGTGGGCCTGTCTCTTAATTTGGAAAATAATTGGCTTTGATATGATAATCTCTGAGGGTGTTTCTAGCTCTAAATATGATTCTGTAATTTGGAAACTATATTTACATTAATATAAACCAAGATGAATTAATATTTTTAGGTAACTATCAAACTATAGTGATCAAAATCCATGTTTTGTTTTGTTTTGTTTTTGGCAAGACAATTGGGGTTGAGTGACTTGCCCAGGGTCACACAGCTGGGGAGTATTATGTGTCTGAGACCACATTGGAACTCATGTCCTCCTGACTCCAGGGCTGGTGTCTTATCTACTGTGCCACCTAGCTGCCTGAAAATCCACATGTTTTAAAACACATGGACTGCTCTCAAGCCAAATTTCCCCCATGTTATGCCTCTGAATTTTATTCTTTTAACTCAAGTGAAGGATTTACATTTATCCCTGTTAAGTTATAATCTTAAGGGTAACTCATTGTTCTAGAATGTTGACATTTTTGAACGAAGACCTTATCTAGCACATTAATTATGTGCCACTTCACTTGATTAATACGCCTTTTATGATCAAATGCGATAATATTTGTAAAGCACTTAGCACACAGTGCCTGAAACGGAGTAGGTGTTTACGAAATGCTTGTTCCCTTCCTCCCACAAGTTGTTGTTAAAATGTTAAGCAATATTGGGCCAAAACAGAGGATCCTGTGACCCACCAGGCCTGACTTAGAGCGATTCCACAAAATCATCCAGTGGCATCACCACAAGAAAATACTCTTCTCTCACCCGCACCCGTAGAATCCCTAGCTGCCCCCAAGGCACATGTCCAGGCGCCACGTCGAGTTTGCCTCCTTTTCTTGGCACCCTCTTCCAGCCTCCGTTCATTTCTACTCTCTCCCTCTTGAAATTAGTTTATATAACTTTGTACATGCTCTTTGCATTTACTTATTTTTGTGTATATTTTATCTATCCTTCTAAAATGTAAGTCCCTTGAGAAAAGAGGTGATTTCATTTTTTTGCCTTAGTATTCCTGTGCTTCCTTGTACATTATGGGCAGTGCCTAAATGTTTGTGGAATTGAATTAGTCTCTTTCATAATACAGTACATACCAGTCTATGTTTTTCCTTCTCATCCATGGGAGATGTCAAGATGCCTGTCTGAAATTCAAATATGCTACATCTTCCATATTCATCTGTCAGTATCCCATTCAAAAAATTAAATTGTCTTTGAGAGTTACTGGTCTGATTAAAGCATACTTTTCTTTAATCTCTTTATTTTTATTATTTTGTTTGTGTTTTCTTTTACAACATGGCTAAAATGGAAATATACTTTGCATGACTTCACATCTATAATCGATATCAACTTGCGTGCCTTTTCGAGGAGGTGG